AAGCTAAAAGAACCGGCACAGGAGACCAACCTTAGGGGACAATCAGTCACTATGGACTCAAGCTGGAGGATCGAACGTGCACTTACGATTTGCCTGTTCGTAGATCAAGGCCAGACAGGATAATGAAGCCACCATAGTTAGCAACATGTTGTGCGAGTTGTCTCAGATTCTGATTGCTTGACAAGAAGGAAGATGCGAGGAGATGTAGGACAACTAGAAGTCCTATGTACAGCTTGAAGTCAGCGCACGTCCCTCTGACTACGCTGGCATGGCCTTGGTGTCTACTCACAAATGCACGTCTGCCGCAGGAATTCTCTCTCGCCATATTCCCACAGTCCCGAAGAAATGAGACTGACACCTCTTCTGAAAACGCCTCGTAATTAAACCAGCTCGTGAGGCGCCCTAGATGACAGTAAAACTGATACAGAATCGACAGCCATCCTTCGCTTGAGAATCTATCAGCTTTACACCTGTTTTGTCTGAGAATATTGCCGATAGTTTCCATCAGTATCGACCCGACAGGGATTGCCGTCGGACATGTGGCTGATTGTAAATTCGAAAAATTACGGAGTCATTTTCAGATGATCAAGAAGAAAGTGCGGGTATTCTTCACTATTCTTGGTTGTCTGCTGCAAAAAGGAGGACGCACGTGAACCATCAATCCAAGAATACTTTGCAAGGAATCGCTTTTTACTCCCTTTGATGGCAAGGCATCTCAAATAGCAAAGACCAGATCATCGTCACTTTCGGACACCGATACAGTTGTCTTGTCTGGTGCTAATTTCACAACCCAGGGAGTCTATGCGTTCGATATGTCACAGGTGATGAGAGCAGGTTCGTTCCATTTTCTGGTAGAGCATGTTACCGTCTGTCCAAGACTGTCTACCATAAGCTGATTCTGGCAAGCAAAAGCACGAGACTGGAGACAACCCTCATGCATGTGATCTGGAAGGTCGGACATGTCGAGTGCCACCATCATTGCAGATTCAAACCAAGAGGCATTCGTTTCATCTTCCAGT